TGTGATTAGCGAAGGCACAGGCTATAATTCATACCTCAAGAACATCGAGCCTAACGTTGACAACTGCTGTCAGATCCAACCTGACAGCAACAGAGCTTTTGTGCTTTTCTAATCAACATTCCTAAAAGAACAAATTGATAAATTATAATTATTTAGACCTGAATTATTTCTCCTAGTGTCCAGCTTGACCGTGACAGTATGGGAACAACCTCAATACACAAATCTGCATCTGATCTCCCAACTACACAACACATAGTGCATTAAAGAAGTCTGAAACATATAATGATTTTAAGGCTCTACTGCCAGTATATACCAGGGAATATTAAACAAACATCACCTTTTAAAGGTAAAGACGTAAGACGTAAAACCGAGGTTTTGACTCCCTGTAGTCATTAAAAATCCCAGGGTGTTTCTTGAAAAGAGTAGGGGTGTAATATAAGATAATCCCCATCTATGAATTGGCTTCATTACTCTGCTCTCCTCCCCACTGATCACTGGTGTGTTCTGGTGCACTTTGGCTGCCATCGCATCATCCAGGTGGGGCTGCACACTGGTGGTGGTGGAGGGGATCCTCATTACCTGTAAAGTACTTTGAGTGGAGTGTCCAGAAAAGCGCTTTATAAGTTTAAGCAATTATTATTATTATTATTTTCAAGGGGTGGAGGGTGGTACAGGTGTTAATATTTTGGCAGTAAGCTATGATCCTGACTGCCACACTACACTTGACTTACTCCTCTTTAATCTTTACTTTACTCACTTTTAAAAGGCCACACATTCATTACTGTAGGCATCTGTGTTTCTTTTGTGAGTGTTTTCAATCTGTTCTCCATCCTAGATGAGATTTCTGCTCAAACAAACTGCTAGCATTGGCTTCCTACTTAAAGCAGTTTCCATACTGCCCTTTAATGATAGAGCACCTACAGCACACAATTCATGGCAGATGACAGGAAAGCTACCGTCTGAAACGTACTGTTCTTCTACTATAATATAAATGCAGATTTTTTCCTAACTTACTTTGAACTGTACCACACTGAGGAAGAAAGTCTTTGTGCTTCAACTGGAATACCACCTAACACCTTTCAGCCTTTAGGTCATGGAAGTCAGAAAAGACAAGGAATACATCCTGGTGCTTATGGTAAACGGTAAATTCATTTTCTCCCTTTCGGAAGGTAAGTGAAGATTTTACACATAAATATTCAGCCTTTTGTCCTTACAAGGCAACTTCATAGAAACCACTGTCTACTCAGAAACCTTTCCTTGGTGTTGTATTGTGTATCACTACATGTCTTGCCTAATAAATATGCCAGCTTGTATTTAGCAACATTACATTTTGCAGATTTCAATGAGGTCAGCTATTCCAAACCATATTGTAATTTCCCACCGCGCTCCTCACTTTGTGTCCTCGGTTACATCATTCTGGAAGACGGATAAGACACTGATTGCATAAGACTTTGATCTGTTTCAGATTTCACCAGCTGCAGGCTCTTGTACAACCCGTACACATGAAGCAGAAAAGCAAATGTACTTCATTTTAAATTCACACGTCTGCCGATCAACATTTTACTCTGAATAAGGTAACAAGTCCCCTCTATAAAAGCCTGCCGGGAGAAAATAAAACCTTAAATTGTTCAAGCTGCTCGCACTCTTACATTTTGGAGATGCTCAGGCACTTCTGAATCATTAACAATCAAAAGCAAAGAGACATTACAATAGATATTGTTATATATATACACACACATTGCCACTGTGAGATTATGTTATTTTTTAAATAATTCCAAACATTCCATACATAAGATCATTATGGGTTAAACTAGGTAATGAACATGGTTGATCTTGTTTTTAAGAAATACGTGCATTGAAAAACATCTAAAAAGAAATAATATCAGTGTGTGTATAGTTATATTTGCTGCCCTGACTTGCAGCATAGCACTGTGCAAGACTGCTGCCGAAAATACCACTGAAATCGGCTCCCTCAGACTCCGACACCCACCAGCTCCCCGCAGGAGAAGCGCCAGTCCACTTAACCAGGCTGAGACACAGCAAGCGCTGGGAGGCTGCTTTCATTTCTCTCTCTCTGTGCTCCTACAGCTCGTCCTTGAAAAGCACAACACCTCAGAGCTGTTCCCCGTGGAAGAGCAGGGAGACACTGTTCTGAGCACCTGGAGCGCAGGCAGGATGTCCTGTTCGGCACCAGGCCGCTGCTCCAGGTCCTAACCCCAGTCCAACCACGGACAGCTTTTTGTCCCAGTTTAAGATGTGCTCTGCTAGAAATAACCACTCAACTTTAAAGTACATTTTATTTTTATAAAATGAGAATCACCAGTTCTTTTTTTATTATGACATACTCCCACAAACGGAAGTAGCCAATCATGTATTAATAAAAACCCTTGGAAAGTCCAAGGATGTCTGAAACATGTTGAAGAGATCTCAGAGGCAGGAAGAAAATGTGCCCTAGCAAAAGCAACAGTATGATTTTCAGCTTCATCACACTGGAAGGAACCTTCAGACTCCACAGTGAGACTCAGAACATACTCAACTGGCGTCACTTCTAGCAACAGGTGAGGACAGAGAGACGTGATGAAATAAGCTGGTGGCAAACTGTCTTTCCTCTCGATCGCTGTCCAAACACCACTGCATCCTGCTGACTGGACACCCTGTGCTGCAGACATTAAACAAAAGTCCGGACTGCTTGGTCATTACAGACCCTGTAAAGAGTAGCAGCACTAACCCCAACGACTGGGTTCATTCCACCTGCTGGCCTCCTTAACATACCCCCTTAATTCAATCGATGGAGCCCTTTTGCTACCTTCTCGACCTGGTCCGCTGCACCATGGGGCTGCTGGCGCGTCACGCGCACGGGCAGTGTACATGTGCAGGAGGTCCGAGGCGCGAAGAGCTTTCCTGTTGCGTGTGGCAAAGCGAATAAGAAGAGCTGCTCTGGGCAGGAATGGCAAGGAGGGGACTGAGTAGCCAGTACAGCGCCCAGATAGGCCTGCACAGAGGACACGGAGTGCAAAACAATCAATATGACCCAACGAGTACCCTTCAAGCAATCGATAGCGCATTATACCAATGCTCGTTGAGAAAGTGCACGAGCTGTGCCCTGAAAACATCGAACAACTTTCTATTCGGATCAGAACACGATGTTCGCAACCTGCTTTCTGAGGTTATCGCAGCGAAACACTGGAGACCCGCAGTGCCATTACAAGAGGCCCCACGACCCCTCCCCCAGGGCAGTAGTGTCGCACATCACATAACATAGCGTGCAATATGTCCTGTAACCCATGACTGCAGAGCACATCCAGTTGCACACATACAAATTATTCTAAACTCATGGCATCTCCTGGTGCTGCTCCGAATTTGTAACCAAGCTAATAAGGCAGTGAACTCATCACAGGAAAACACATTCAAAGGGCCAGGCTCTTACTTTAGACCTTCAGAGAATCTAACAGAACTGGAGTTCCACAAACGCGCAGCACGATCGCTCAAGCAGGTGTCCACAGCCCTGGAGCCTAGAGATCCCCAGCTCCATCTCACAGGTGACCTTAAATCACCTGCTTCTTAAAGCTTAGGAACACTTCAACGTAGCTCAATGCTTAAACCAGTAAATTGTACTTTTAAGACAGATTCAGATTTTTATTCTAAATGATCTCTCAGTCTGTTCATTTAACAAATGACCCATTTACTTGATTAAATAGAAGCTGTCCCAAGTCTTTAGAAATCGCTGATTCGACGGTTAGCTCTAAATCCTGCTGCACAGGGGCTCTCTGGGAGCAAGACCCTGACCAAGACACCTCACCT